TATCGCTTTCACTCTCATACTGGTCACTGGAAGTTCAACATGGCAGCTCATCGTAGTATATTGTGTGTAATATATATATTGTGACAGTATGAACGGCAAGGTGATGGATGGATGATATGTGTCACCTCGCATGATGTCATACTGTGAAGTGTAAGGTGGAGTCCACTCCGGATTTTCGGGGCCACAATGGCAGAGGTGGCTCCGGACCGGATTTTGTGCTCCACTGATGACCACCAACAGGCGGTATAAAAAAGGCAGGGCTGGAGCAAAGAGTCGCTCGTGGCCTGGGACTCAGAGAGCTATTCTGAGAGAGCTGTGTGTGTACTATACCTACAAGGAAAGGTTTGCGTTTGTTTTTGTTTTGGGTGACGGGGAGAAGCCCTTCACCTCTGAGTGAGGAAAGTTTCATGTTTAGTTAGTGCCTGGATGGCAAGGGTTTATTTTGCTGTTTTGTTTGTTTTGACATTTTTGCAAACCTGTAAATAAAGCTGACAACCAGTCAGATTTTAAGAAAGCCTGCTGTGCGGTCTACCCTTTTTCCCAGGGAAAGTGATCGCCCACCTGAGCTAACCCCACAATATATATATATATTTATATATTACACACAATATATATAGTGAAGATACTGAAACACATACTGTTCATTCTGGGACAGGCCAATGACAAAACCACTTTACACATCAAAAGAACTCTTTGCTATGTTAATTTTATGCAGGTCGTCTGGTATTTGGGGAATAGCCTGTTTATCTAATTAGACATTCCAAAGGGTACATTGTATGCAGTATGTGATTTGACCATACAAGAAGTATTTATTGATGGTAATTAGACTGGATGGCCTATTATATGGTGAAAGGATGACTTGATTACCTGGTAAATACTATATTGACCTCAATTGTTATTTACAGTAATGATAAGTGAAGTCTTTTCATGTAAGATCAAACGTGTTTTGTCAGCCAATCAGAAATCCCTCCAGTAAACTATTTCAAGGGAAGTTATTTTGGCTGGGAGAGGAGCTTCTTCCTGTCATTAATATGGGAGCACAGATATAGATCATTGTCACGATCGCAAGATCACCGCCACCAACATGCGACGATCCCACAATCACTGCCACCAATATGTCACAATTGCGGCGTCAGACCCCAGACCTTCTCACCCAAACTTGTGACCGAAGGACTAGCCAATCTAAAACAGCGTAACAATGCCACACCCAGCTGCACCCTGCACAACGATTTTCCAGATAACGGACCACAATCGATGTACTGGCAGCCTGGGCGATTGTTACTGGGTCAGGTTAATTATGCAATTAACCCTTCCCACTGCCACCACCTCCTTTTTGTACAGAGAAAGAGGAAACTCGGCGTTATTAGCTATAACACTGTAATGATTGAGATAATCATCAGTATAAAACGGTCCACAGGCCGGTTATACAGAGGTCTAAACAAACAGTAGCGTTCTCTTTAGAGGCAGGGATTCCTAAATTGCAATACAGAGCTATAGAAACATTTCAACACTTTCAGAAAGAAAGATTTATTACTAAAAGGTCAAACAGGTGCAATAAAAATATTTACAGAAAAAAGATGTAACTAAGATATATATATATATATATATATATATATACATATACAAAGAACCATAGCACAGCAAAGAGATATCAGAGAGAGGTGAAAGGGTTAAAGTACTTGCCAAAGTCCTGGGATAGCAGATCCAAGTTTCAGAGCATAAGGGTGCTTTGATCTCCCTATGTTAAGATGGTCAATGGGAGAATTCTAAAAACTCTCTTCTCTTAGGCTTGACAGCCTGCTTTGTAGTCCCCAGCAGGGGGTTGCTCTGCAGTCAAGGACCAACCTCCGCTTAGGGCGTGGAGAGATGAGATGAGTGGATGCCTCAACTAGAGCAAAAATCTCCCATAACTCATATTTGGCCTATAACTTTTCATCTGCACAAGTGACATCCCACCTGCGGGTAGATTATTGTGCAGACAAGTCTGAGGATTGATTAGATATGAATTATGAAAGTGTACACTGAATGGTTCGCAAGATCTATTATTCTGCTTTCCTGTGTGTCCGAGACAAGGCGAGTGACCCATCAAACTGTTCGCCTGCTCATCGTCCATCTGATGATATGTCCGGTTTTTATGTAAGTCTCTCATATTCCAAGATATGAGACATAGGGGAAAAATGGTTTTAACCGCAGTTATCTGATTCTGTCACCTACGCTGAGTTAGGTTTTATGAGGTTGGAATCTCTCTCAACTCAGGAGAAAGCTTGCTTTACTCTTCCGAGGTGTGAAATGGTACAGCTTTCCGAGACAGCTAGGTACCTAGCTCAGAGATGCCTTGGCCTGCCAGTGACCCAAAACCAACACACACACGCTGGCCAAATGTATCCTCTCAGAGAGGGAGGGGGAGGGAGTGAGGGGAGAAAATGGATACTCTTAAAATGGAGTCTGCGTCCTTCACTGTGTGTTGCGCACGTTTGCGACAATCATAGCTCACATTATTGCATGCATCGAAGCTACCTAGGTGCATATTATAGATTGGACATATGTTGGACGGTGTAGTATCTCTATGCTTGATATGAAGTGTCTTGAATGGGACTTTGAGGGTTCTTGTTCCTTGTAACATTTAGTTTAAATATTCAGCTGGATTTCTGTCATCTGTAACAAATATCTTTATCCAAATAAATGCATCTCTCTGGAAAAGAACTGTTAGTTACTGCGGGAAAAGCAAATTTATATATACACTGGTCATCTGGAGAAGGGCTGGATTTCTGTCTTATGAACTATCTTATGAAAAGATTTAAATCTCTCTCTGGAAAAGAACTGTTGTACTCATAATATGATAAGACAACACTCATGGCAAAGAACTCTCTGAAGATCTGAAAAAAAGAATTGTTGCTCTACATAAAGATGGCCTAGGCTATAAGAAGATTTCCAAGACCCTGAAACTGAGCTGCAGCACGGTGGCCAAGACCACACAGCGGTTTAGCAGGACAGGTTCCATTGAGAACAGGCCTCACCATGGTCCACCAAAGAAGTTGAGTGCACGTGCTGAGCATCATATCCAGAGGTTGTCTTTGGGAAATAGACGTATGAGTGCTGCCAGCATTGCTGCAGAGGTTGAAGGGGGGGGGTCAGCCTGTCAGTGCTCAGACCATACACTGCACATTGCATCAAATTGGTCTGCATGGCTGTCATCCCAGAAGGAAGTCTCTTCTAAGGATGATGCACAAGAAAGCCCGCAAACAGTTTGCTGAAGACAAGCAGACTAAGGACATGGTTTACTGGAACCATGTCCTGTGGTCTGATGACACCAACATCAACTGATTTGGTTCAGATGGTGTCAAGCGTGTGTGGTGACAACCAGGTGTTGAGTACAAAGACAAGTGTGTCTTGCCTACAGTCAAGCATGGTGGTGGCAGTGTCATGGTCTGGGGCTGCATGAATGCTGCACAGTTCATTGAGGGCACCATGAATGCCAACATGTACTGTGACATACTGGAGCAGAGCATGATCCCCTCCCTTCAGAGACTGGGCCGCAGGGCAGTATTCCAATATACGACCCCAAACACACCTCCAAGACCACCACTGCCTTGCTAAAGAAGCTGAGGGTAAAGGTGATGGACTGGCCAAGCATGTCTCCAGACCTAAACCCTATTGAGCATCTGTGGGGCATCCTCAAATGGAAGGTGGAGGAGCGCAAGGTCTCTAACATCCACCAGCTCCGTGATGTCATCATGAAGGAGTGGAAGAGGACTCCAGTGGCACCCTGTGAAGCTCTGGTGACCTCCATGCCCAAGAGGTTTAAGGCAGTGCTGGAAAATAATGGCGTCCACACAAAATATTGACACTTTCATCCAATTTGGACCTTATCACTTAGGGGGGTGCTCACTTTTGTTGCCAGCGGTTTAGACATTAATGGCGGTGTGTTGAGTTATTTTGAGGGGACAGCAAATTTCCATGTTATACAAGCTGTACACTGACTAAGTCACATTGTAGCAAAGTGTCATTTCTTCAGTGTTGTCGCATGAAAAGATAGAATCAAAGATTGACACTAATGTGAGGGGTGGACTCACTTTTGGGAGATACTGTATGACAAGGTAGACAACTTAGTGTAAGAACTGATCCTGACCTCACATAGATTCTAAGCTGATTGGATTGGCCAGTGTATGGTATTCCTAATCAAGTCATGCCAAGGTACTCGTTGAGCTTTGAATATCTGGTTGTAGAGAGATCATGGGGATGATTGGCATAGCCGTTGTCACATGTTGCAGCGTAGGGAACAAACAATAACTGACACTTCCAGACACTTGGTTCTAATCCTTCGATATTTGGAAGTCATTGCTGGTTTGAATTTCTAACCATTATATTGGATTAGAAGTCATCGTACTGTTACTCTGAATTGATTATTATTTATCATCACCTATTATATTTCATTATCATTTTGCACTGATTGTTATTATTAGTAAATATATATTTTTACACATTATTGTTTCTTATTTTGTCTTCAAATTAGCGCAAATAAAGACCTCGGATATCAGTTGATTTATGAAGATTAGTAGGGAATTTCCTTCATTCCAGATCCCGCCTGTTTTCAAAAATTGTATACAGATTATTTTCTCAGAGCTAAAATTCTACAGAAATTGTAGAGAATGTTTGTCACCCCGTCCTTCCATTTCCATCACAGTGCAGCCCGGGTGTCAGGAGACCTCCCAACAATGTCCCCCTTCCATCATCTCATCACCATCCAATGTGGTCTACATTTTACTATTCACATTCTAAGGCTTAGTGGGGTGTATTTGCTAAAGCTGGATCACTCAGAATCTCGTTCACTTCTGCGAGGGAACCAATCAGCTGACCACTTTTATTGCTAAAGCTTCATTGGACAAGCTGAGGTGAGAAGCTGATTGGCTGCCATGCACAGCTACACCAGTTTCTGAGGGAACCAGCTTTAGTAAATCCCCCCAGTATGTGTGTTCCCCCCAATAGAACAGATCTTACTGTCCATCCACAGTGAAGCCGGCATTCCGGAGGATCTCGCAAAAACAACGACAAATCACTTCTGAGTAGAACGTCTCCTCCTCATCCAATGTCACCTCCAGTCTGGTCAGAGTTCGGTTTGTGGAGATCACGGAGCAGAGATCATCACAGCACCATAATGTCACACCACACCATAATATTCTGGTGGGAGAAGCAGGAAAGAGAGGTGAGATGTTCTGCAGTGACGGGCAGAAGTAGACACATTCCAATGGATAATCAGTGGGCGGGGTCTTAGAAGATGAAATGTTGGCCCATTTGGATGGATGATCTCATGGAATATTGGTTGGACCTCCCCTGTGAGATGGAGGGGAGTTGTCACCCACCTGAGAAGTCTTAGTGTGGATGGACACATTGCAGCGTACGTGGTGATGCACACATTGGAGGGGGAATGGCTCCATATAGATTCCCTGCGGCACATAGATGGGAACCGGCCACATAGGAAATAATGGGACTTCTACTTGACCTGCGTCTCCATGCAGCAAAATCCATGAGGATTGCTAGATGCACTGACAAGCAATGATAATATGCCGGCATATCGAGGGATCAATTGGGCAGCCCACCCTCGGGCGGAGCCAAGTGATGTCATTTCCTGCCTGGAACTGACACAGGAAGTGGTGCTGGTGAGCGATATCTCCTGCCCAACCAGGTGCTTGATAGGCGGACATATTATTGCTTGTCAGAGCATCTATTGTAAATAAAGAGACAATTGTTTTGAAGGAAAGTACTTCAGTATTGGTGACATTTGTGTTTTGTTTGGCGTTCTCTATCCAGCCAATCAGGAGGCAGCAGATCCCTTAAAGGGAACCCACCCTGGTGACAGCTGGTCTTATGGGGAGTCCCCCGGGCCCATTGAGCCCCCAGAGGGGGGAGAAGCACAGCACCGGGGTTGTGGTATTACCAGCCAGACGCAGCACTGGTGCTTTGGTATCATGACCTGTATATAGTTCTGTGTTCTTTATATAAAGTGTATTAATACCAATTTATATGCAGCAAAATAGGTTCATTTGCAGCACTGGGGTTGTGGCATCAATTACCTGAAAATAGTTCTTGTTTCTTACACACAGCGTAATAGTCATGTGTTAGTTTGTAACTGGTGTTTGCAGCCTGGATTTGGGGTACTACTGGCTAGTGACAGCACCGGGGATTTGGGATCAATGACCTGTATAAAGTGTCTGTTTTCTGCATAAAGTGTATTGATATCAATTCATTTGGCTGCAACACATTTGCCAGCACTGAGGTTGTGGTAGTAGCAGCCATATAGTGTATGTAGCATTTGCTTTGTATTCTAATGTTTGTTGTGTCATTATTATGTGGAAGCATCGGGATCAGGCGCTTGGCTGGTTGTACATTACACAGCCGTATAGTAACACTGGGGTTGTGGGAACACTTTCCTCTGGTCACAAGTAGCTTGTCTGTGCAATATCCGCGTGCTGAGCGTATCATGTAGTTATATGGTGGCAGAGAGGCTCTCCTGCACAGGATCACATACCTAGTACATGATCCATGCACCCGCCCCCACCACTGGGCTTTGATTCTTCACAGAACATGCCAATCACCGGGTCCCGGCCAATGATTGACTGCCAGGACCCGGTGATGGGGGCTCTGTGAATGTAAACAACACAGAGCTGTGATCACTGACAGGGGATCTATGTGCTAAGCAGGGAATGAAAACAAGCAGATCCTCAGTAAAAGCAGCACACAGTCCACACATCAACGCCTGCTAGGCACACATTAACCCCTTGATTGCCCTAGATATCATTAGTACAGTGACAGTTCATATTGTTAGCACTGATCACTGCAATCATGTCACTGGTGATGTCAGTGGCAGTTAGTTCCCCCAGCAGCAGATTAGTGTCAGATTGCCCGCCGCACTATCCCAGTCCCGTTATAAGACGCTGATCACCGCCATAAGTTGTATTTACAAATAAATAAAAAAATAAATATTCCAGTATATATCCCATAGTTTTTAAACGCTATAATTTTCCCACAAACCAATCATATACACCGGGTGAGTAACCCCCCCCCCATGTTATCTGTTATTCAAGAATGACATTCACCCAATGACAGGTCGACATGGGAGTGGGGTCACCTGGTGATGTAACTGGGTAACCCCCGACCCATGCTTACCGATCAGTCGGCTGTGTTTCTGGTGGGCAGCATTTTTTTTAATCGCGCGGGTCGGATTATTTTTTGTTTATCTCTTTTTATCAAAGACTTAAACTAGGTTTGTGTTTTTACTTAATTTTTGACACTTTTTTGGTAAATGAGTAGGGTTACTATGGACCCCATACTCATTCACATGAGGTTGCTGGGATCTGGGAGCCCCCTTTAAAGGGGGCTTCCAGATTCCTATAAGCCCCCCACCTGCAGATCCCCACAGCCATTAGGCAAGAATTGTGGGGAAGAGGTCCTTGTCCCCATCAACAAGCTGCTTTGAGAGGAAGTCCCCTTGCCAAAAAGTACCCTCTGGTTGAGGGCATGTGGCCTGGTATGGTTTGGGGGGGTGCTCACTCTTCCCCCTTCAGTGGGACCCTGCAGGGAATTGAACCCGAGCAGAGTCACTCATCCCTACTAGTCAGTACACATCTAATGTTCTAAGTTCTACAAACAAGAAACATTTGTCTGGTAGATGGATAGATTTGGACGTGTTTTATTGGATAAGAAATGTCATCACTCAGTCTCTATGGGCCAAATAAACTTCATTGTGTTTTATATCATCCAAACAACAATCCACCTCGACAGACATAAAGTCTGATCTCTGATAGTCAGTGGAGGGTGGAGTGGAGGAAAGCCATAACAGCCAGTGACCTGAAGGACTATGATGGCGTCTCCCAGTGTAACCTGCCAAGAAGTCTGTCTTTGTATAACTGTCATCTAGGGAACGTGTCTGGATCCCTCACAAAGGATTTATCCCAAAATCCAGTAGAATATGAGATCATTTATAGTAGAATTCCCCCCTCATCTCCTGGATCTCGGAGTCCCTCACATAGAAGATCAGAGTCCTGCAGAATCATTTATAGTAGAATAGGATCTCGGAGTCCCTCACATAGAATATTTATATCAGAGTCCTGCAGAATATGATTATTATTATTATATAGGATTTATATGGCGCCAACAGTTTGCTCAGCGATTACATTATGGTGGGAGACAATACAGTAACAATACAGTTCAATACAAGAGGGATAGGAGGGCCTGATCCTTGAAGCTTACAATCTAAGAGGGAGGGGCTAGTGGTACAAAAGGTAGTATCTGTGGGGGATGGACTGGTAGGAGGAGTAGAAGATTCAATTATTAGCTGAGGGCAGGATAGGTTTCCCTGAAGAGATAGGTTTTCAGGATCGCCTAAAAGTGAGCAGAGTAGGCCATAGTCTGATAAATTGGGGTAGAGAGTTCCAGAGGTTTGGCAAAGCTCTGGAGAAGTCCTGGAGACAAGCATGGGAGAAGGAGACAAGAGCGCTAGAGAGCAGGAGGTCATGCGAGGAGCGGAGAGGACAGTTTGGGTGATATTTAGAGACAAGATTGGTGATGTAATTTGGGGCAGAGTTTTATATGACTTTAAATGTTATTGTTAATGTTTTGAATTTTATCCATTGGGCAACGGGAAGCCAGTGGAGGGATTGGCAGAGAGGGGTGGAGGACACTGAATGGAGGCCAGTGGAGGGATTGGCAGAGAGGGGTGGAGGACACTGAATGGAGGCCAGTGTAGGGGATTGGCAGAAGGGGTGGAGGACACTGAATGGAAGCCAGTGTAGGGATTGGCAGGTAGGGGGGAGGACACTGAATGATGCCAGTGGAGGGATTGGTAGGTAGAGGTGGAGGACACTGAATAGATGCCAGTGAAGGGATTGGCAGAGAGGGTGGAGGACACTGAGTGGAGGCCAGTGGAGGGATTGGCAGAGAGGGATGAAGGACACTGAGTGGAGGTCAGTGGAGGGATTGGCAAAGAGGGGTGGAGGACACTGAGTGGAGGCCAGTGGAGGAATTGGCAGAGAGGGGTGGAGGACACTGAATGGAGGCCAGTGGAGGGATTGGCAGAGAGGAGTGGCAGATACAGAACGGTTAGTAAGGTCGATGAGTCTGGCAGCAGCATTCATGATAGACTGAAGAGGGGATAGCCTGCGATGAGGTCGGCCAATGAGGAGGGAGTTACAATAGTCAAGGCGAGTGTGACGGGAGTGACTTTGGGTGGGGGGCCCATGGAGCATAGGTCACTTTGGAGAGGTGGGGAGACCCCTGTCTCAGCTCCCCATATTCCTCTTATGTGTAAGTCACCCTGTGTCTCTTAGGGGCACAGGGTGACTAATGGACGCTGAGAATGCGGTTGGAATAACTTCAGATGTGACAGTAATATTTATCAGTCATATGAAGACTATTCCTGGTTGTTGTTTCTGAACTAGACATGTGAATTGAAGGAGCCGGACCATCTGCTCTTTAGTGAGATCCTAATTCATCCAACCATTGTCTAGGTGTGAATTCCCATTCACCTTTTGTTTGGATAACCCAGCTAGCTGACCTAATTGACTTACTGGTTAGAGTGTGAAGTCTATTTCTGTATATAGCTGGGTTTGCATATGATCATGTGATCAGTCTCAGTGTGTATTGTATAAAAAACCTGTTTGAGTTTAAAATAAAGAGTTCCATGTTTATACAAACTGGTGTTGTCTAGTCATGTGTGGTCAGCGATGGTGTCCGTGGATCTGTGTTCGGACAGGGAAGCGGGAGTCTAACGGAAATACCCTAGCACAGTCGGGGTCCGGTTTCATTACAGCGAGAGATAACCAGGGAGTGAATAATTTGCTTATTAGTTTCCAAGGTTAAAAATGGCCGTATCTTGGAGATGTTGTGGAGATGAAGTCTACATGATTTGGACAGCGATTGGTTTTGGTGCTGAAAGAACAGATGGGAGTCAAGGATTACATCTAGCACCCTGGCATGAGGGAAGGGACTGATGGTTGTATTATTGGTCTTGATGGAGAAGTCAGGGGAGGGGGCACGGGCTGGGGGGAATACTAAGAGCTCAGTTTTGGAAAGATTGAGTTTGAGGAAGTGGAGTGACATCCATGCTGATATGTCGCTTAGTAGCTTAGTAATGTGAGAGGAGACTGAAGGGGTGAGGTGAGGAGGAGACTGAAGGGGTGAGGTGGGGAGGAGACTGAAGGGGTGAGGTGAGGACTAGAAAGATAGATTTGTGTGTCATCAGCATATAGATGGTACATAAAGCCATGGGGGTTTATCAAGTGACCAAGGGAGGAGGTGTAGATGGAGAAGAGAAGGGATCCAAGGACGGAACCTTGAGGGACCCCTACAGAAAGAGGGAGTGGAGAGGAGGAGCCAGAGTTAAAGGTAACACTGAAGGAGCACTGCGATAGGTAGGAGGAGAACCAGGAGAGAGCAGAGTCTCGCAGGCCAAGAGAGTGGAGTTTTTTGAGGTGGAGGGGATGGTCAACAGTATCAAAAGCCACAGAGAGGTCAAGTAATAAGAGTACGGAGTAGTGGCCATTGGTTGGGATGAGTACGGAGTAGTGGTCATTGGTTGGGATGAGTACGGAGTAGTGGCCATTGGTTGGGATGAGTATGGAGTAGTGGCCATTGGTTTTAGCAGTTAGTAGATCATTAGTGAGTTTTAGTAGGGCAATTTCAGTGGAGTGAGCGAAAGCCAGACTGTAAAGGGTCAAGAAGGTTATTGTCAGTGAGGTGGGAGCTCAGGCGATTGTAGACTAAGCATTCCATGAGTTTAGAGGTAAATGGCAGCAGGGAGATGTGTCTTAAATTGTTCAGGTTGGTGGGGTCCAGGGAGGGCTATTTAAGTATGGGAGTGATGTGCGCATGCTTTAGAGGGGAGGGGAAGGCACCGTTAGAGAGGGAAAGACTGAAGATGTGAGTGAGGGAGCATAGGATGGAAGAAGAGGGTGATCTCAGTAATGATATGGGGGACATTCTACTCCAGATTTAATTTATAGTAGAATTCTCACCTCAGCTCCTGCAGAGTACAGTCAGGATGTCGGAGTCCCTCACACAGACGTCTCATTCCAGAGTCTTGGAGATCATTACCTGATAAATCCAGGCTGGTGAGGGATCGGTTAGTGATAAGAATGGAGCGGAGATCATCACAGCAGGAGGAAGTCAGATGACACTATACAACCTGTAGAGACAAATACAGACACATGAGAGTATATTAGGGAAATAAACAAAAGCTCTTAGGGTATGGTCATCATAAAACTCATAGAAAAGAAAGAAGGAAGAAGATAATGGGGTCCCATCATCAAGGTGAGAAAAGTCAGTAAATCCTCTTCTGATGATCCATGGAAGGGGGAGGGGTGTAAATCTCTCCAGCAGTCCATTCACTCTGTAGGAAGCTTGTCTCTGGAGTAGAATGTCTCCCATATCATTACTGAGATCACACAGAGAAATGATGAGCAGATACTGAACAGGAGCAGACAAGGCCTGACATAGGGGGACTCAGGGGGAACTTGGTCAGGAGATGATCCAGAAGTCTTTGGTGAAGTCACACATCTGCAGATAGAATTCATAGCACAGACAGACATGACACACAAAGTCCACTTTCTTGTTGATATCACCCAGAAAAACTGGAATTCAAAATTCATTCAAACCCTCCAGATGGAGAATATAAGGAGGACGATCCTCACCAGAGGAGAGCTCTACTCATTTTATGGAGAAATTGTTTGTAATGAGGAAATAAAACAGAAAGGAACAAAATACAAGAAGATGAAGCCGACTGCCCAGCTCTACATAGTATAATATGTGGTTGTGGAGGGACTCCGGAGGGGTTATGTCCATAGCACACCACCTTCATACCTGAACAGAACCCCCACCAGGAGCAGAGAGGGGGGATGGGCACTCACTGCCCAGAGCCAGGATAGAGGAAGCCTGGGGACTTTGTATGGCAGACAAGGACTCATAAAGGGGATGGGAGTTAGGGATGTTCATCATTTCTTGTAGTGATGGGGGATGGGTAACTTTTCACATTCATCTTGGGGTCTTGGGTTCATTCACATGGGTGCTGTGGCCTGTACAGGGTGAATCAGGTTTGTTTATGTGTCTGGAGTCACCTGGAGCTGTACAAACACAGCCACAGGTGCTCATTTGTCAGGTGTGTTGATGCGGGTGTACGGCCTGAACACAGACAGTGAGTTTGGGGCCACTCACCCACACCTGCACATTTGTCAAACCAGGACCTGTGGTTGTGTTCATACAGCCGCTGCATCCCCACAGAATGACAGGCAGCTCTATCCCAAACCCCTCTTCATACAGCCAGAGTACCTGTGTGGATGAGCCTTTAATTCTATTTTTTTACCATTTTTTTAACCACCCTGTTGGGAAAGGGGGGGGGGGGGGGCTTTCGTGAAATATCATTATGACATATTGACATAAAAAAAAGAACAGTCCAGTGCGCTGTCATCACTGACAGGAATTCCGTCTTCATTTATTCTTCCTTCTGGGTTCTTTGGCACCGGACATTTGGATGGCCAAGCTGTGATGATGTCACTCCCACGCATGCGCGTGTTAATCATGGTTGCAGCACAGCTCTCTCAATGGATGACATGCTGTCCATGGAAAGCACAGTACAGATGTGCCGAGTTTACTATTGCTTTATCGAGAAAAGTGAGTAAATGGTTGAATAGAAGGAACTGATACATGGATCTGCACAGGGATCTGGCAGTGTAGGGGAGAAGAAGTTCCATAGGTCAGAGGAATGATAGGTCCATAATGGGGAACTGAAAGGAAACAGTCTGGGCCAGAGGAGTGGGAAGCCCAGATACATAAAGCACACTAAGCTGCAAGATAAAAGGCAGCAATAGAATAGTGTGGCAGGAAATTCTTTATTTCATGGGAATACAATTGATCAGCTCTGAACCGATGGGCAGTTGGAACGCGGGGATCAGAGATACAGGGAAGATGAGATGGGACAAGGAGTTTGTAGAATTTTCTGAGAATTTCCCAGTCACTCCACTGGGCCCCCCCTAGCAGATATTCTACATACTATAAGTAGCATACTCTTGTATCCACAATTAATACCTAAAATCCATACCCAAAACAATCCTAGAATATTAAATAATTTGATACCGACACCTAAACAAAATATTATATATATATATATATATATATATATATATATATATATATATATATATATAATATGAACCACCTTGGATTCTAAATCCCACTTCATAAATACATACTCTCTAAATTACTCTATTGAATGTAATATACTAAAATAGTTAAAAATTTATATTACAAATTATTAAAATAAAATATAATTACAATTATAAATATTAGATATAAATAAAATCAGTCATTATTTTATATTTTAAAAATTGGAAATAAATGAATTTAGATCCAAATCTACATTTAAGCCATACAGCCTTAACGTATGAAGCTCCAAAATCCAGAAAGTCTCATTCTGAGAGATGAAGTTGGATTTAGAATCCAAGGTAGTTCATATTATATATATATATTTATTATATTTTTGTTTAGGTATCAATATCAAATTATTTAATATTCTAGGATTTATACTCTAGGATTGTTATTGGTATGGATTTAAGGTTTGAGAATAAGTAGTGAAGTTTAACCTCCCTGGCGGTATTCCCGAGTGTAGCTCGGGGTAAAGTTTCAGCACCACAAGCGATAACCCTGAGCTACACTTGGGAATACCATGCGGCGCTGCTCCGGGATCCCTCGATCACTTACCTTGTCCTGCGCTCCTGCAATGTCCCTCCTGCAGTGTCCCCGGCAATGTAATCCGGCGGATGCCGGCATCTGTCATCTGGGTTCCGTCCCCTGCGAGCGTCGGGACGTACGGGGAACGGAACGGCGGGAAATTTGAAAATGACAAAAAGTGACACTCACTGAATACACTAAAATCACATAGTATAACATTCCTGTATCAAGCCATTTCACATACATTGTGTCCCGAGTGCTTTGTCCGGCGCCCTGCCTGCATTTTTACTGTTCTTTCTGCCTGGAAACTGAGAAACGTCCATGGCGTCCAAAAAGCGTCCCTTTAGGTCAGACGCGGTTTTAGACCGGCTAGAGAACAGCGATAGTAAATCAGAACCACTTGCAGAATTGAGTGATAATGATTGGTGGGGGAAATTCCTCATCAGACACTGAAAACAATTCTGCGACTACAGGTGAAACTCAAAAAATTAGAATATCGTGCAAAAGTTCATTTATTTCAGTGCAGCAACTTAAAAGGTGAAACTAATATATGAGATAGACTCATTACATGCAAAGCAATATAGTTCAAGCCGTGATTTGTCATCATTGTGATGATTATGGTTTACAGCTCATGAAAACCCCAAATCCACAATCTCAGAAAATTAGAATATTGTGAAAAGGTGGAATATTCTCGGCTCAAAGTGTCCCACTCTAATCAGCTAATGAAGCCATAACACCTGCAAAGGGTTCCTGAGCCTTTAAATGGTCTCTCAGTCTGGTTTGGTAGGAATCACAATCATGGGAAAGACTGCTGACCTGACAGCTGTGCAGAAAACCATCACTGACACCCTCCATAAGGAGGGAAAGCTTCAAAAGGTAATTGCAAAAGAAGTTGGATGTTCCCAAAGTGCTGTATCAAAGCACATTAATAGAAAGTTATGTGGAAGGGAAAAGTGTGGAAGAAAAAGGTGCACAAGCAGCAGGGATGACCGCAGCCTGGAGAGGATTGTCAGGAAAAGACCATTCAAAAGTGTTGGGGACACACAGACGGATCCTGGACATGGGCTTCAAATGTCATATTCCTCTTGTCAAGCCACTCCTGAACAACAAACAACATCAGAAGCATCTTACCTGGGCTAAAGAAAAACAGACCTGGTCTGTTGCTCAGTGGTCCAAAGTCCTCTTTTCTGATGAGAGCAACTTTTGCATCTCATTTGGAAACCAAGGACCCAGAGTATGGAGGAAAAATGGAGAGGCACAAGGACCCAGAGTATGGAGGAAGAATGGAGAGGCACAAGGACCCCGAGTATGGAGGAAGAATGGAGAGGCACAAGGACCCGAGTATGGAGGAAGAATGGAGAGGCCCAAGGACCCCGAGTATGGAGGAAGAATGGAGAGGCCCAAGGACCCCGAGTATGGAGGAAGAGTGGAGAGGCCCAAGGACCCCGAGTATGGAGGAAGAATGGAGAGGCACACTCTGCAAGATGCTTGAAGTCCAGTGTGAAGTTTCCACAGTCTGTGTTGATTTGGGGAGCCATGTCATCTGCTGGTGTTGGTCCACTGTGCTTCATTAAGTCCAGGGTCAACGCAGCCGTCTACCAAGAGATTTTGGAGCACTTCATGCTTCCTTTCGCAGACCAGCTTTATGGGGATTCTGACTTCATTTTCCAGCACGACTTGGCACCTGCCCACACTGCCAAAAGCACCAAAACCTGGTTTAACGACCGTGGGATTACTGTGCTTGATTGGCCAGCAAACTTGCCTGACCTGAACCCCATAGAGAATCTATGGGGCATTGCCAAGAGAAAGATGAGAGACATGAGACCGAACAATGCAGAAGAGCTGAAGGCCACTATTGAAGCATCCTGGTCTTCCATAACACCTCAGCAGTGCCACAGGCTGATAGCTTCCATGCCACGCCTCATTGAGGCAGTAATTGCTGCAAAAGGAGCCCCAACCAAGTACTGAGTACATATGCAGCTTCTACTTTTCAGAGGTCTGATATTGTTCTATGTACAATCCTTGTTTTATTGATTGCATGGAATATTCTCATTTTCTGAGATTGTGGATTTGGGGTTTTCATGAGCTGTAAGCCATAATCATCACAATGATGACAAATCACGACTTGAACTATCTTGCTTTGCATGGAATGAGTCTCATATATTAGTTTCACCTTTTAAGTTGCTGCACTGAAATAAATGAACTTTTCCACAATATTCAAATTTTTTCGAGTTTCACCTGTAAGCTCAGTGATGTGCGAACTTGACGCTCTATTTCACATTTCAGTGTTTTTGGTTTGATTATATTATTGAATTACATTTATTATTATTATATATATTATTATTTTTTATGATTATTTATTAAATTATAATTTATGATTTTGTGTTTCAAGTTTTATCCTCCCCGGGATGTATACTAGACTCTTGTTCGGACAGATTTCAGTGAGTTATTCCTAAGAATTACAGGCCGACAATATAAAACGCCAAATTTCCATGCAAAATAATAGTACCGCTTTCGGCACCAAAAATCTGAAATAATCATACCGCCTGGGAGGTTAAGCTTACTTTATATATTTAATTAATTTTTATTATTATCTATTTAATTAATATGATTTATTGATTTAACTGATTTCATAGATTCATTTTATAGATGTATTACTATATATAGGTCCAGATATAAGAGAGAGAAGTATATCACAAGAGGAAGGTTTTAGATTAATATTGTATATTAATTGTGGATACAAGAGTACACTTCTTATAGCATGTAGAATATCCGCTAGGGGGAGCCCAGTGGAGTGACTACTGTGTATATATATTAGTATATGAGTAGTACGATGCTGTATATAGTGCTGGGTATTACTATTTAAGTACTATATGTTTATTCCTGGATATAGGGTGGTCGGTTTTTGAGTATTATGTAAAGTAAATATTGCACTGTCAATGATAATCTATGTAGACCACGGACTATGTACTGGTGGCGGTGTTTCCCTACTTCAACATGGTGGCTCTGGTCTCGGCGCCATGTGGGAGAGGGATATAAATAGATCCTTCCTCTCTGCAGTCGCTATCCCTTATGATTAAGTCCGATGACGAAACGCGTCAAGGGAAGTGATGTTAGACGCACAGAGGAACCAGAAGTGATCCGGCGGCCATCTTAGAATCTGGCAATACCTCATAGAAGTTCACGTAGAGGATACCAGGGAACTCCTAGAGGTCTGGAAACTTTGTAAAAGGCTATTTTAAAGAAGAATCTTGATGTAAGCATATTGTAATAAAAGTATTTTAAATTGTATATGCGGGTTTACACTATGATTTATTCTATATATGGTGGGCATCGATGGATTGGTGGAGATTGATGGTTGAACTTGAACGCTGTTAGATCCGGATGACATCTTGATCTGATCCATGAGGCTGTGATGATTCTTTGGTTGAAGCAGGATTTGTGCTAATACCTTCGCTGGGAGGTGTAAAGGCATATTATTTACATATTTTTGGTAGGGGTATTCACTCCTTACACCATAGAAGTGGACACAGTGTTACACAGGTTGTTTTTGGATGCATATTTTTCACCTGATGGATTCACTGGCACTGTTTTGACACTTTCACTTTTTCACTATTTGTGATCACGCATGGTGGTTTGTGTTTATCACATCTGTTTATTCTTTTATTTTACTGAAGATAATGCACTATGTGATTTTTCTTTTATGTTGAGGTTTCTTTGTGAGCCTTTGAAAGGCAGAATATGAAGATTGATGATTGAAGTTGACATGGAGTGACTTTTTTTTCTTATTCATCTTTTTTTTGGACTTTTTTTTTTTTTGGGAATTTATTTGTGGGATATATACTTTTGGGAATATTATATTGGTATTAGCATATTCATTGTCACAGTGTTTACCCTTTTTGGGTTAAGTGTATTTTATGCTATTTATACATTTTTTGTTTTTGGTTATTTAGGGGATACCGTAAAATTTACATATAAAACATTACAATGGCACTGAGCAGCCAAAAAAGGATTCAAATGACACATATTAAGCAGCTGAACACAAAAGAATTAAAGAATTAATCCACAAAAATCCTAATACTAAATAAATATAAAGATAACTGTGCAGCGCTAGAAGTGAGACTCCTTATACCTAAATTATACGTTTTTTTTCATAGTTAACCGCTTGGTGACTGCCTCCTGTAGCATTACTGCCCGTTCAGCACAACATCACATATATACACGTGTTCCGTGCTCCCTGCGTGTTCCCAGGGCGATGGTGCTGTGATTCAGTACAGCACTGATCAGACACAGGAACTGACCCAATCTTCTCTGCTGGAGCCCTTTTCTGTTCCAGAGAGAGAAGAGAGCAGATCTGAGTCACAGCAGCACACTTTACCCTCAGACACACAGTTGAGCACATTTTATCCCCCTGATTGCCCCCAGTTAACCCTTTCACTGTCCTGTCACCAGTGTCATTAGTTCAGTGTATGGATTTTTTAAATGATTGCTGTATTAGTATCACGGGTGACTTCAGATAGCGTTAGGGTCAGTTAGAGTCCCTCCCACATAGTGTCAGATTGCCCGCCTCACTTTCACCATCTAATGTAACCCTTTGTTTTCCAGGAACACACTCACACACACACTATACACCTACATTACTAGTATAGTGTCTGAACAGATCAGTATCTTTGATCAGATTAGAACTATACTAGCGCCCCCTTAGTATAGTTTCCCCAAAATTCAGCATCAGCGAGATCAGCTCTCAACACTTGCCAGCACCTGCATTTAGCCCATCCACCCTCCAAATAAGTGCAGTGTCAGTAGATTATGGTCACTTGATACATTACACACAAATCTGCAGCGTTAGAAAGATCAGGCCTGAGCTCTACTAGCACTAGCAGGCAATTTTTTTTTGTAACAGTTCAAGCGGTCCCTGACCTTCAGGTTTTTCCCTAGGTACCTATAAATTTAGTGGCCAACCTGTCCAAAGAAAGGCACATTAATGAAGAGGCCTACAGGATTCTGAGCATGTCAGATGAGAGAAGGGAAGGCTCACTGACAGAATCAGGATCAGAATACGGACCTGTAGAGAGCAGCAGCACCTTGACAGCTCAGACTATGGAGAAGAGGTCCCTGCTAAGGTCAGGCATACCTGACCTCAGGCCCAGGTTACTGAGGTGTTAGAGTTGCATGATAACTCTCATATGCAGCAGAGTGCCAGTACTAGTGCCGCTCTACCTTTTGGGGAACTCATGAGCACCAGC